CCGCGCGGAGGCCCCGCCGCCTCTCCTGGCTGATGAGTTTTTCCGTCACTGGTCGGAGCCGGCCGCCATGGCCGCTCCCGGGAGAGGCCCCGGGCGGCCGCGTGGACAGCGGGTCCGGCTGCTGGACAGGGGTCGGTGAGGAGGTGAAAGAGCTTCCGGAAAGCCGTGTGCGCGCGGGAGCTGGAAGGCAGCTCCTACTCCTCTAGAACTCAGTCTCCACCGGGGACGCTTTCTGCTTAAGGCTTTGTAAGTTAGACTCCAGCAGTGACAGGTATGTGTTGTTTTAAATCCACTAGCCATGCTCAAAAAAATATTCTTCATGTTTTAATTTTATACAATGGCTAGCAGGCACCTTAGTAACCAGCCAGAAATCACTTTCAACCACCATCAACCCCTAAACTACAGTACCAGGGTGGCTGGAGTCTGACGCGTGCCCAGTACAAGGTGTCTGGCTGACTTTGTCCTAAATAAGGCTAACATTAGTGAACTAAGAACAGCGTCGAGTGGTGGCCGCGCCCGGCCTTCAGGAGCACCCCTCCCCGATGCGCTGGCAGGAGCGCCCCACTTTCCGGTCCAGTTTCACCATTTTCATGATGGCTTCCTCTCGGCCGCGGCCCATATGGTCGAATGTACAGTCGTGCTGCTCCGGGAGGCGGTGTAGCATGCAGAACACGAAACCTGCGGGGAGAGCACACAGGCGGTCAGGGCGTCGCGGGGGTGACGGGCGGGCGCCACGGCGTCTCCATCCTCGGCACTGTGCCTGCCCTAACAGGGGGCCTGCAGGCCTTCCCTGCCCCTCCCCTCCCCTCCCCTCTCTTCCCCTCTCCTCCTCGTCTCTCCCTGCCTCTCCCCAGCTCCTCAGGGCAGACCGCCTGCAGCGGCTGGCACTGCCCAGACCCTGCAGGGCGAGCAGGAGGCTCAGCACACACGGGCAGGCCCTGCACCTGCCTGGCTGCATCACAGGACACCTCCAAGTCCCCGGAGGTTGACAGGGAGACATGGTGACCTCTCCAAGGAAAACAGGGCGCACATCAAGAGGAAGTGAAGAGCTCTGCGGGGCCGCTGCAGTCACTTCCTGCTGGTGTCCACCAGATGTCCTGCCCTGCCCACCCCGCCCAGAGGCCATGGGTCCTCCCTTGGAGCGGAGGTCTGAGGGACACCCTGGTGCCCTCATGCACCAGAGGCAGTGGGACGCAGAGTGACGGGATGGCGCGTGGAGGCCTCGGGGCAGGCGCAGAGGAGGAAGCGGCCAGCCCTCCAGAGGCCGATGGGGCCTGTGGGACAGACCCACGCCGCAGGATCTGGCCGCTCTCTCCCTTGGAGGAGGTGGAGGAGACGTGTCCGTGCCGGCTGCCTCTCCCAGCTCCTCATTCCACCCGGATGTCTGTTCAGGCTTGGGGAAGACTTCCCAATGAATCCAAATGCATGGCCGCCTCCCCCCCACTCCCTGCCCCCCACTTCCCCCACTCCCTGCCCCCCCCCCCCCGCAGGCCCACAGCCTCCATTTCTTCTCAGAGACACAGCGACGAGGTTGTGGCTGTAGAAGAATCAGACATCATGAGGGTTAGGGCCACCTTGCAATTTGGTGGCCACAGCCTTAAAGATGAACACCACGAAGACCACGTTCCCAGATGGCCTCAAGGCCACCACGGCACTTGGCTCCCAGCCCTGTGCTCAGGCTGGGCTGGGACGCACCTGCAGCCTGGGGCTCTGAGTACTTGGGCAATCCCTGGTTCAAGAAAACACATTATTAACTGCTTCCCAGGGAGAGCAGGGCAATATGTCTGACTCTAAATTGGGATTGGGTTTAAGGAAAAGAACAGAGATGAAATTTTTGTCTCTGGAGAAAGCTGTACTCCCACTCGGTCCACAAGCAAAGTTAAGATTAATGAGCTCACGCGTTACCGTTACTGATAAGTTCATTACTTGCGGATATTGGAAACCAGTTGTCTTTCTCCTAAAGGACTGCAGCAGAGTCAAGCGTGGCCTCAGTGCGCGCCCCGCGTCGCGCAGCAAAGCCTCTGCCTGGAGAGGAGTCCACCCTGGGGCTCGGGCAGAATGACACCGGAGCACGCATGTGCACCAAGTCCCGACAGGTTCTGTACGGCAGCACCTGCCGCACGGGAGGGACGCGGCTGCCCCTCCACTCCTTCTCGTGAGTGGGGAGGGCCAGGAGTCATCCCAGGGGCTCTTCCCTGCAAGCGGGGCTGGCTGAGTAAAAGCAGCAGGAAACGGATTATGGCTGGAATTAACCTGGCTCCTGGCTTGGTGTAAGACCTCATTAGTCAAGACAGACATGGAGGAGGGAAGAGGCTACCATGAAGGTGTCAAGCCCCCCCCCATGCATGCCTGCACACACACACACACACACACACACACACACACACACTTAGCCGCCTCCCCCGCTGGCGACAGCCAACTCCGAGGGCGACAGAACCACACTCCCTACCACTCACTCTCACCGCCTCCTCACCCAGTCAAAAAGACGATTCCGTAACCCAAGTTCCCTGTACCTGTCCAGACACGTCTAACACAATTTTCCTTTGCTTTTTGGTTGTAGTAGGGTTTGAACTCAGGGCCTCACGCACTCTACAATTTGAGCCACTCTGACAGACACTTCGATCCCTGCCCCCACCGCCCACCGGCTTTGATGTCTGCAAGGTGTGACCTTCTCCAGCTAGGTACACTTTGGAAGCAAGGCTGTACAGATGAGAAGTGCTGCTCGTGACCTGCAGGGAAAAGGCTGGGGGTGGCTCTGGAGGACTGGCCTCCCGCACTGCTGCGCGGAGGTTATTAGATGGCATAAATTAAGCTCAGTTCCCTCCGGTCAGGATCCTCACTAGGGAAGCTACATGCTGGGACCACTTCCCAGTGCTGAGTGGGCACTGTCCACGGACCAGCTAAATGTGAAATGCACGGCCCTGAGTGTGCAGCCTGGGCAAGGGAGGCGTGGCCAGGGTGAGCAGGACTGACCAGGCACTGGGGGGGAGAAGGGGGAAGGTGAGTGGGGGTGGCCAGTGGCCGGGGTGCATGGTAGTGGCTCACCAGCCAGGTTGAGTGGGAGTGACAGATTTTTTTGGGGGGGAAGTACAGGTGAAGCGTGGGTTTGTTAGCAAGTTGCGGCCAGCACAGTGAGGGGGGAGCTAGCAGCTGACTGCCTGGGTAGCGGGGAGGTCTCCTCCAGCCTGCCTTGGGGCTGTGAGTGGAGAGGAGTCAGACTGCTGGCAGGACGAGGGTCTCAAAGCATGATGAGACATCGTTAAAAGCTCCTTTTGACTGGGCCTGCTCTGCACTGCCTCTATACCAGTCACCGCCCCCCCACAATACACACATGCACATGCACACGCACACACACACACACACACACACACACACACACAAATCATTTTCTCATGCACATGGGGTGGAGCGAGCACTGTGCCTCCTCCACACGCTCCTGGGGTCCTGCTGCTCAGCAGCACGTAATTTTAACAACTCCAACATTCTTTTGCTTATCCCAGCAGAACACCAAACAGTGCTTTGGAGGGGTAAAGTGAGCTGAGTGGAGAGGCGTGAATGATTAAAAGGAGGCTCACCCCCCAAAGAGAGGAAAACAGCTAGGGCAAGAGATCTGAAGGTGCCATAGATCCCGAGGGCGTGGCACAGCAGCAGCCCGGGTGCTCAGAGCTCTCCTCGCCCCATTTCCACGCGCGCTCGGAGCTCTCCTTGCCCCATCTCCACGCGCACTAGGAGCTCTCCTAGCCCCATCTCCACCCGTGCTCAGCTCTCCTAGCCCCGTCTCCACGCGCGCTTGGAGCTCTCCTAGCCCCATCTCCACCCGTGCTCAGCTCTCCTTGCCCCATCTCCACGCGCGCTCGGAGCTCTCCTAGCCCCGTCTCCACGCGCGCTAGGAGCTCTCCTCGCCCCGTCTCCACGCACGCTCAGAGCTCTCCTAGCCCCGTCTCCACGCACGCTCGGAGCTCTCCTCCCCGCATCTCCACGCGTGCTCAGCTCTCCTCACCCTGTCTCCATAAGTGCTCGGAGCTCTCCTTGCCCCATCTCCACACACGCTCAGCTCTCCTCCCCACATCTCCATGCGCTCGGAGCTCTCCTCCCCGCACCTCCATGCGCGCTCAGAGCTCTCCTCCCCGCACCTCCACGCGCGCTCGGAGCTCTCCTCGCCCCATCTCCACGCGCGCTCAGCTCTCCTCGCCCCGTCTCCAGGCGCGCTCGGAGCTCTCCCCGCATCTCCACGCACGCTCGGACCTCTCCTCCCCGCATCTCCACGCGTGCTCAGCTCTCCTCACCCCGTCTCCACGCACGCTCGGAGCTCTCCTCTCCCCGTCTCCACACGCACTCGGAGCTCTCCTCACCCCGTCTCCACACGCACTCGGAGCTCTCCTCACCCCGTCTCCACGGGCGCTCGGAGCTCTCCTCACCCCGTCTCCACGCGCGCTCGGAGCTCTCCTCCCCGCATCTCCACACGCGCTCGGAGCTCTCCTCCCCGCATCTCCACGCATCCTCGGAGCTCTCCTCCCCGCACCTCCACACGTGCTCGGAGCTCTCCTCCCCGCACCTCCACGCACACTCGGAGCTCTCCTCCCCGCATCTCCACGTGCACTCGGAGCTCTCCTCACCCCATCTCCTCCCCGCCATCTCCACGCGCTCGGAGCTCTCCTCCCCGCATCTCCACGCGCTTGGAGCTCTCCTCCCCACATCTCCACACACGCTCGGAGCTCTCCTCCCCACATCTCCACACGCTCAGAGCTCTCCTCGCCCTGTCTCCTCCCCGAATCTCCACGCATGCTCAGAGCCCTCCTCGCCCCATATCCACAAGTGCTGGCCCACGAGGAGGCTGTGAGCCGCTTTCCGCAATTCTGACAAAATGCTCGGGAGCTTGTGTGGGGGTCTCTTCGCTTGCTGCCCTGAAGAGCAGTTTCGGGAGCAATTTCAAAGGGCAGCTGAGGGAGCAGCTCCACGTGTTCTCTGCCTGCCCCTGGGCTGTGCCCTCTCTAGCAGCCTTGCCCTGTCTTCTGACACAGGGGCAGGGCAGGAGGGAGGAGACCTCGGGGCAAGTAACCCAGGCCCTCTTACCTACAATCTGGTCTGGGAGCATCTGGAGGGGTTCTGACAGCTCCAGCCTCAGTTTGACAAGTGCACAGGGCAGGAGGGCATGATGGCTCGCATACAGGGGCAGGGAAGAGCCAGCACTGAGCCACTGGTAGACATAAGGCAGGGACACCCACAGCAGGGGAGGGGATAGACAGAGAGCAATTCCTTCCCCACAGTGCCAGAGCCCGAACCTGCCTCCTGAAAGAAGCCCAAGTGGCTTGAAACAGCAGCATTCAGGTCCCCAGCCTGCATGGAGGCTGGAGAGCAGGAGGGAGTAGACACCATATCCAGACCCAGCCTTCTACTGTGGACACCCCCCGAAGAGGTGGGACACCACCTGGAAGACCCTGGAAACACCTTCCCAAGAGAAAACAAGATGCTCCTGCTTCCAAGAGGCCTAGTCTGACACACAGGTGTTTTCAACTATTAATTTGGTGGGAATTATTGTTATTAGCATACATTAGCTGTGATTTCTACATGTGTATATGACCCTCACCTCCTCTATTCACACTCCCCAATCTTAAAATCAATTTAAATAGGTGGCACGGGTCTATTTTCACTACATAAGCCATATTCACGCTCATTCA